CTGGAGGAAATTTCGGTCCGCTGGGCGTTGGAGGGAAAACAGTCAAGCCCTCTCATGACCAGGTAGAGTGTCTCCAGCTGCCGCGGGTCTTCCCCGGTGTGCGTCTTGCCTGGGAATGGCGGAGAAACTCCCAGGAACGGCCGTGTCTGATCCTGCATAAGCAGTGAAGTAGTGAACCTTCGTTAGGTTGAAGGCTTTAGGCTGAAATCGTGCGTTTCTTTGTTTAACTAGAAGAGCCGCAGAACGTCTGCGGTGGGGTGGATGTGTCCTTGCTCTTGAGGAGGGGCTTCCTGGGGCTTGCGGGGAAGCTCCAGACGGTTGATGGCTGCAGGGGCTGCTCGGAACTGCCACTGCGACATCCGGTAGCGCCGGGTCTGAGCCCGCTCCCCTGCCCCTGGAGGGGCCCTTCCCGGGCGGCCAGCAGGGAGGGTTCGGTCCTGGCTGCCCTGGGTTGGACTCGCACAGAATTTGGTACCTCTGGGCCCTTTTCCGAAGGACTCGCTGTGTCCCGTGGCACGCTGAGAGGCTGGGAGGGAGTTTGGAGGAATAGCCTGAGGTCGAGGGAAGGAATTCTCCCCCTCTACTCTGCTCCGGTGAGACCCCACCTGGAGTACTGCATCCAGCTGTGGAGCCCTCAACATCAGAAGGATATTGACCACTTGGAGCGAGTCCAGAGGAGGCCACAAAGATGCTCCGAGGGCTGGAGCCCCTCTGCTATGGGGACAGGCTGAGAGAGTTGGGCTTGTTCAGCCTGGAGAAGAGAAGGCTCCGGGGAGACCTTATAGCACCTTCCAGTGCCTGAAGGGGCTACAAGGAAGCTGGGGGGGACTTTTTACAAGGGTCTGTAGTGACAGGACAAGGGGTAACGGGTTTAAATTGAAAGTGGGGAGGTTTAGATTAGATATCAGGAAGAAGTTCTTCCTGGAGAGGGTGGTGAGGCACTGGAACAGGTTGCCCAGAGAAGCCGTGGATGCCCCATCCCTGGAAGTGTCCAAGGCCAGGCTGGATGAGGCTTTGAGCAACCTGGTCTAGTGGAAGGTGTCCCTGCCCATGGCAGGGGGGTTGGAACTGGATGATCATTAAGGTCCCTTCCAACCCAAACCATTCTATGATTCTATGAACTTGCCGGAGTCTGTTCGTATTCCTCCTGGGACAGAGGATTTTCACATTCTGGAGTGTCTGATCCCAGGCAACGTGTCAAAAAGCTGACCCAGCTGTGGAGGGGGGGATGGTTTTTGGGGAATGGGTGGGGGTGTGTGGGGAGGAGCTGGGCAGATGCTGGAAGCGCGGAAGAGTTCAACTAGCGCTGGTGTCTGGCGCGGGATCCTGCGCAGATGCTCTCTGGGGGCAGTAATACAGCAGGACCGCTTCCAACGCCGCGACTTTATTCCTCTCCCCGCCCAGATGGTTTCCCGAGCTGCTTCTAAATCTTCCTCCTGACCTTCATTATGAACTCTTTCAGTAATTGAGGGACAATATTGTCCCTCGTTAGCAGAGCTGTGATTTCCCTGGAAAATGCAGCGAGGGGGTAGCCAGGGGATGGTTCAAGGAGCAGGGTAACATCTGCTTTAGAGGGAACTGGATTCCTTAGGGCCTCTGTAATAGCATCAGGTGGGTTTTTCCCTCCTGCTTTAGAGCTCATTACTGAGGGGAGTTTTAACGGTGCCCTGAGCTCCGGTTTGAATGGGAATGCATCTCCTGGAGGGATGTGAATTTGGGATTGGAACGTGTTAGCCTGCTCAGGTTTTAAAGAATGTAATTTAAGCAGCGTGCCTCCTTGCCGACCGTCCCTGAAATACAGCCGCCTCGCCTGAACGAATCCCGCGGCGGAAGAACTTCATCCCCTTGCAATTCGTGGAATGGCGCCGCACGGGGATCCAAGGGACTGGGAAGGACTTTCTCACGCCGTGTCTGTGTAAGAGCTTCCAGCTGCCCGGCACGTGAGAGCCGGCTTCGGTCCTCGGGGGGTCGCGGGGGAGCGCTCTCGCGGCAGCTGCTTCTCGTCAGCGCTTGGAGGCGCTTTGCAGCTGGATGGCCCCAAATTGCAGCCCCCGGACTGGGATCAAGCAGTCAGTGATGCCTCTGAGCCCCAAAAATCCCCAACCCGCCTGGTTTAGGGACAGGTGGGTGTGGCCAGCCGTCACGCTGCTTGGCAGCTTTCGCGGGGAGGGTGTGTTTCAGGTCAGCGCTTCAGACTTTTCCCTCCGGCCTTCTCCAGATGTTTATTTCTGATAATTCTCGCGTTAGGCAGAAATATCTCCGCTGGATCCAAAGTCTTGGAGCCTTAGGATGAAGTCGTGTTCACCGTGGCTGCGTCGGGTTTGTTGTGGGCACCTCGGTGCCCCTGGTCGTTGGCTGCAGCCCCTCATCCCCGCCCTGGCCTGTGCTGGGGGTGGGGGGACACTCTGAGTACATGTTGATCTGCCCTATACAGGTATTCCCGTTCCCGATGGAAGCTCAGCGCCTTGAATTCCGTACCTGGGATTTGTCTGCATGGCTGGAAGGCTCTTGGGGTGGGTGGTGTGGGACCAGGTTGTTTTGATGGAGGAGATGGGTTCCTCTCCCGCGAGGAACTATCCTTGCCCAAGGAATGGATCCGGCCGGGATGCGACCGGCTGTGCTCCGCGGGGAGGAGAGCGTCCCAGCTGTGGGATGAGGACAGAGGCGGTGACCTCCGGGGGGGCTGGCACAAAGGTACTGGTGCCAGAGCTGGAGCCAAACCCGCTCCTGACAGACGGTGGGGCTCGGGGACCTGCCTGCAGTGGTTCCGGAGCCGCTGGCAGGAAACCTGAGCCGGAGTTTTGTCCCATCCCAGCCCTGCCTGGGGATTTACCGCGCGACTGTCCCCCTCGCAGTGGTGCTGGGCCGTGGGGAGGGAGTGGTAGGGTCTCTGGTGGGAAGGGGGGCCCTGGACAGTGGGAACAGATGGGAATGAGGGGAAGAAGATGCTGGGCGCTGGGAAACGTCACAGGGTCCCGCCGGGAGAGCGTGTGATTGTTTGGAACCCCCTGCAGTTTTGGGGTGAGGGCTGGGGGGCTGAAGGGCTCGCAGTGATCCGTCCCTAAGCCGGTGCAGGGCCGGGCTGCCGGCAAAGCCCCCTCCTCAGCCTGTCGGGGTGGGCGCTTGGTGCCGCTGCCTAGGCAACAGGGATCGAACCGGGGGATGGGGGTTCCCCAGGGATTCAGCCCAAGGAGCAGGCAGTTCCTAGGAGCAGCAGGGCTGAGCGTGCTGGCGCTCAAGCCCGTCCTGCGGACCGCAGTGTCGCTGCAAGCAGCCCCATAGCCCCTCGGCATCCGGCCCGTGTAAGTAGAGTTACGTGCGTTGGGAGTAAATACGGCTTTCCTTTGTTTCCTGCTGTGGCGGGGGAGAGGGCAGGGGGTGCAGCCACGGCGTTCCGTTCCTTCCTGCCCGAGACACTCCTGAGCCTGCGGCCAGCGCTCCAGGGAACACGCAACGGAGCAAGCAGCGGTCTGCTGGGCGCTGGATCCCAAGGGGTCTCTGACGGATGGGCATTTCTTGGCCAACCGTATCCTGGGCTGTATCCAGAGAAGTGTGGCCAGCACGGCGAGGGAGGGGATTTTGCCTCTCTTC